GCCATTTTTAGGAGCGAAAATGAAGCAGGCTGGATTCCGGGTAACTTACCAATTAGTAACTGTCCTCGAATATTGGCTGAATTAAGGTGCGGCTGTTGCTGCTATAAATGAGTACACAATTTGTATGACGAGACCTCTTGCTGGTAATAGTTAACACATAGGCGTTTGCTTATCGATCATCGCGTTCACACATTTCGGCGACTATCAGTTTCAGTGCACCCGTCGTGGTGTATGTGACATATACGGAAGCTTTTCTTGTTCAAGAGAAAAGCGCTGTGTTGATTGAGGCGTCACGTCATAAAGCACAGGCGTCATTATCCTTATGTTTTTCACAGCATTGATGCTTACAGTCTTAAGCTTTGCATACACCCGGCCAAATTCCAACAGCTGTTGACGCCGTGACGGCAAGCAGCTGAGCCTAGTCGTCATATCGTAAAAGCATGCAGTTGTTTTGCACGCTGAGCCCGTCGAGAGGATAACATCTCAGCTTCGTGTGACACTGAGCCGCTTTCCCACGTGCGAAAGTGACTGCTAGTCTGTTGACCAGAATCCGACCTGAGGTTTGCTACACGTGACACTATGAAAACATCCGACCAAACTGCGCACTTTCTACCCCGGGAACGCGATTTGCCTTCTTTTTGTAATTGTTTTCCAGTCAGAGGACGACGTTGCGAACGCATCACTGTCTGCTATTACGCCAGGAATTGCGAAAGCCGACATCAAACAGGAAGGTGCGCTACTTTCCCTGTGTCGTTTTGTTAAGTGTTCAAAACAGAGGCGCCGTCGCCATCTGCAGTAATATTGCGGCTAGCCTTCACCGCATCCAGAATTAGCTGACTCGACGTGTCCTACGCAATCGCGAGTCCTACGTTGTCGTGGGCTACAACTGGATCTGATTTCGCAAATATTGTAGCTCCCTTGACGTCTGTGTGAAATCTGTGTGATAATGATATTCGTGCGTGATCAAAAGCTCTAGCCTATCAAAAAACTGTACCAAAAACTTTACAAAGCAGCTATGGCCCCGTTCGATCTGTCGCCAGCACGATTGTCAGCTGGAATGCATGACGTCGCGCGAGTTGACGAGGCGTTCGATGTGTTGGCTGACAGGAAAGTTTTTAAGCTTTACTTTCCCTTCTTCTTTTGCCTTTTACTTCACTCCATACACTTACTCTGGCTTACCGCCGACCATCACATACTAGATGCAGAGTGATTTTTGGAAGTGTGGCTTTTGTTCAGGTATTACCATCATCCATCCCATCCGTATGTTGGTTGCCTCTTCCCATTTACAACTAATTTCAGATTCGTCTCTCACTTAAAATGTTTACTTATACGCTTTTAATCTGCTGGGCAACGCAGCCGCACACCGCACCAATCACTGTCACTTACCTTTTCATGTCTAATTTTGGCATTTCAGTTCCCTGGCAAACCAAATCAAATTCCCGCCTCAGAGTGATTTTTTAATCTGGTAGCGCCTTCTCCCCATGCTGAGAGGCTGACAAAAAATATTGGCATGATCGTCAGCCGGCGCGTGACGTAACAGACCACATGACTTTGTGGTCACGTGACGTGACGTAGGGCGAATACTAATTGGTGCCGTGATTGGTGCTGACAACGGATTGAACACGGCATATATCCGGTCTTATTTCGTGCAAACAGCTTTAAGCACAGGATAGATTCCGATACATTTTGGTAATGCTTGCCGTTCGTGAGATTTAAAATGCAACGCATGTGATGCTGACATTTTCTTTCGCTGGGTTGAATATTTACGGGTGTTGTGAAAGTTTGAAGCTCTCAGCATTCGTGCCTCTTCATCTACAGAAATTGTATTGTGATGATGCCAGGGTTTTTGCACTTCAAGCAGCTCCTGTTTATACAATAGAAAATGCGTCTTTAAGTGTTAGGCAAAGTTCGGAACAGCTTCGTTGCTGCATAACCATGCTTAGAAACTTAACCATCGCTCTGATTCGCCCTTTTCATAACACACACTGATGGGAGGGACGGGGGTCGATGCGACCCATCTTACATTTTCAAAATAATACAGTTAGTGCTAAATGGAAAACATCAGTGGCTTGGCCTTAACGGTATCTTGCAATTGGTGCCATTTTCGTATTGTTTGGGCAATAATTGACCCTATTATGCCAGGTCAAAGGTACAAATTTTCAGAATCTCGCACTTTTCGGCTTTATGACACCATTCATTCAAGACCTGCTTGGTGGCCACACAGCACTTAAACAGATGTGCCCTGTGTAATTCTAAGTGCTACTGTGTATCTCTGTACATGTTTTGAAAATATAGTTATGATACATGGCACCGCGCCTGTGCCGGTCGTAGATCATCGTGCAATGTCGTTTAAAACCCCCGCTGCCTCGTTTTTTGTTGGTAAACACAACAGTTGGTAAACGTCGTTTACCAACTGTCATACTTTTGACCAACTGTCATGCTGGTAAACTTCCGTCCAGGAAATTACTAAGGAAATAAGGTATGAAATAGCACTTCTGTGTGTCCAAATTCATATTTATAATTTTGAAGTATCATTCGAGGCATCCGGCTCGTTTAAAAAAATAAGCGAGTCGGACGCAGTTGTCTACAGCGTGCCAGGTAAAAGCGGAGACAGCGGTAAGGGGGCCTGGTTCCCCACACTAGCGTCCGCTAGAAGCGCGCATTCCGTTTCAACGCTACAACACTACGATTGCTGTTTTCCTTGCAATGCACATACACTGCCGAAAATCCCGGTCCCAGCACAGCGTGATGGCGGCGGATGAGCTCACTGTCAATTCATCCTCGAGCCAGCTACACTGAGTCGTGGTTGCGTGGGGCAAGGCACTGCTTGCTTTCTCTCAGTGCCAGTCCATGTAGGAACCTCCAGGCGCATTGGCTATCATACGCACGGCCATTGCAGTCATGGAGCCGCGACTGTGCCAATCTCAGCCAAAGTCACCTGAGCTTGCGAATCCAATCCTGCACGCTCTTCCCTCACCTTTAAGTGGCTAGGAACCACCGAGAGCTTGCGGCAGGTTCTTTGCTGAGCGGGTTATCCTTTTTTTCTGACCTGTCTGCCTCTGACTGGCAGACCTTTGACCTCTGACCGGCTCAGGTAAGTCTGCACCTGCCTAACCAGTGTGCCTTCGGACCGTGGACGGCGGCACGTATTTTTTCGTTGTGGGGGACGAGGATGAGGCTGTCCGCGCTGCGACCAAGATCAGCCCCCTGCTGCACAGTTTACCACTCAATCTCCCAAACCTTTACAGTCCATTGTGGTCAAAGTGTTCAAAGCTTATTTCCAGGTTATGCACTCAGCTGCGAAAATTTTGTGCAAAGTTCCGAACCCAAAATATGTTTATGTCGGTGGCGTATTTTCGAGGTAGTAGGTGGAGTACCACATATAACAGCACACGTTTTCATGGGTCAATGAAATAAACAGACACTCCAACCGAGCCTGGGTAGGGAGAGAGCATTTAGGCAACCTCGAAAGCGCAGCAAGCCATGCTGCATTATTACCATACATTACCGGACTAAGTAGGGGAATGAAGCCGAGCGCGCAAATCTGGTGAATCGCGCTGCAGTAATGACAAAGGGCTGAGCAGAACCGGATGTGGATCAGCGATCTGACAATGGCGAGGAGCGCCTTGGGATCGCTTGCTGAGAACGAGGGGGTGGCGTCCAGGTTCCAGAACCCTGATCCGGTGACCTAATTCAGCATGAAAGGCCGCCTTTGATTTAGAACGCCTTGGTATTAGGTGAACTCATTTTGGGAGAGGTTTTTAATCACGATGTTTCTGAAGAAGTCAGCGCGTTCTGTTAAAACGCAACGTGTTGCCCAGTGTAGTTGAAAGTCTGTTGTACATGTGATGAGTGGAAGGCACGAGGAATCTTAACCAAGCTCAAGTACTTGTCGCTTGCCTAGACAATGACTAACTGACATGCGTTTCGACCAATTTGACCTAGTGTTGTTGTATAACCTAAAATGATTATTAGACACAAAAGCTCAACGTCGCCTTTTTCTTAGTTTGACGCAGCTAGTGCGCGTAATTCTCGTGTTTCTTATCTTCACTTAAATCCAGTGTCTGCTACCGTTTGCACAATAACTTGACATGCGCTTCCTAAGTTTCACCCTACCAAAGCCGCATACTAATTCGCCTTTGAAAGGTCCTCAACAGGGATGAATCTTGATGGGATCTTGTGGGGATCTAGCGGGACATCTGAGTCTTCAAGCGACCGAGGGAGTCCACAAGCAGCCATACGGACTATTGTGGCGTAGAAGGGACTTAAGGACAACCAAAAGAGCTCTAAGGAGCTGCAAAAACGAGGATGTAGATGAGCGGAAAAATACAGCTACAGGCCTCTCACCACCCAAGCGGGCCGCAGAACCGCCGGCAGACCTTCAAGGGCCAGGCAAAAGCTTTAGTGACGACACGGGCCCCGAGCGGTCAGAGAGGCACTCATCACACAGAGAGCCATGAAGTTTTACGTGAGCCCTGGACGTCCAGATGTGGTTTGGGCGTTCACAGCTACCAGTAAAAGAACAGACAGATTATCGAGTGTTAGGAAGGGTCTCTGTGCGGCCAACAAGATATCCAAAGTCCAGAGCGTTGTGATAATGCAGATAGATGATTCTGGCGAGCAAACGGCCGCTGAGCGCTTAGCGTGTCCTCAGCAGCCAGACGAGAGCCCAGGTGGTTAGAAAACCAGTTAAGCTATCAGAGGAGCCCCTTAGTGACCATTAGCTCTGAGCGGCCAGCAAGCCCTATAAGCGGTCAGATGGAAACGTCACGTGGGGCCATGGACTCCTTGATGGCCAGAGAGGCCCCAGTGGCTGGAAGGGCCCAGCGGCAAGTTGGGGTCCGCTGACGTGGGGGACAGTCCTGCACGTTCTGAAAGTTGTGGGCGACGCATTACATGCTCCACGTCCCCCCCCCCCCCCCTGTATTGCCGTCCCTTTCTCTGACCGCCGCGCAGAAGTTCTGCAGCTTGCTGACCTGGATGCCCTCTGACCGCTGCAGAGGACCCTCAGCCGACCGAGGACTGCCCTCGCCAGCACGTCACATTCAAGACGGGCAGCGACCCGTCCGACTGCAGCACTTTCATAAGGTGTATCAGCGGCCGCGCCTACCCGTCCGCCTGCCCCGACGGCCTGGCGTTCAATGCGACGACGCTGGGCTGCGAGTGGGCCGACGAGGTGGAGGGGTGCGACGCGTCAGGTAACCCCCCTAACCGGCCGCCGGTCTCCTGTGCCGGACAGAGCGGGCCAAGGCGACACCGGACTGTCCGCGCCAGTTCGGCATGTACGCGCTGCCTGGACCCAACTGTCAGCGCTACAAGGTTTGCGTGAAGGGCGAGGCATGGGAGATGACCTGCCCCGGCAACCTGATGTGGAACGAGGCCAATCGTATGTGCGATTACCCCGACCTGGTCGGCACACCGTGCACTGGGGGTAAGGTCGTCGGGCAAGGCGTGGCTTGCCTGCCGTCGCTGCAGCTGCCGTTGCCACCGCCGCCGTCGTAGCTGCCTCTGCAGCCGCTGCTGCCGCCGCCGCCGCTGCTGTCGTCTTCTAGCCGCGCCGCAGAGGCTGCGTTGTATGCGACCGGGCGCCGCAGCTGTCGTGGCGACATCTGCCCAAGGGTGGCGAAAGCTCCGCTTTATTAACTGCTCCACAGGTGTAGCAGTAGACCTGCCAAATAACTGCAGGACGTTATGGTAGACGACTCTTGGCAGGTAGCAATTAGTGGTCGGCTTTGTATAGCACTTGCAACGGAAGATACTATTGGTAGGTTGTGTACAGCACACATTACGTTAGAACGCCAGGTAAGGCATGGGTTGGTCTGGAACACCCAAGGGAATTCACCACGATCTACAGTGATGACGTGGCTAACATTAATTTGATTATTGGTAAACACATACGACCCTGTCTGTCGTCATTTCATTCGTTTCCTTACATTCAAATAGTCATAACGGCATATAGGGAGCGATAAACAATGACAGCCCGAGCCGCATGGAGTTGCACGTCGTGATTGTAAGTGGGAAGCCTAAGCCCAAATTTCTAAGATAGCACCTTGAGACCAGCTCAAATTCATGAGTGCATGCTCCGAGCGTAACAAAAATCGATCTTTGAGGATTGCGTGTTCTATTGATGGAATCTTTAATACAATACTGACGACCACCTATTATTAAGGGATCGATTTATGCGCAAAATGGCACGATTTTGTGCAATCTTCTGTGCCCGTACTTGTGTCAATCTTTTGTCACTGCAACTATACACAGGACGGGCAGAACTTTCAGTCATAATTCCCACATTCTATACGTACACTTACTAACGTAGGGCGGTTGTATTGCACCGCAGCGCCAACGTATGGCAGAGGCTATTCATTTATTTGTATTTTAGCTAGTACGCATGCAGGTGCTACGTTTACGTCAATTACTTCAGAATGCACGATCTGCAGTATTTAGTGGCATTGGTAATTGGATCAGATTTAGTATCTTAACATTAAGTAGAGGTTCATCAGTGTTGGGTTTTGCTGTTTGTAGAGCGCCATGTGTAAAACCAGCCTTTTATATATCGATGTCATGATTGCAGATGTGATCTCATATTGCATAACCTGGTTCTCTGTATTAACAAATGTGAGGCATGTCGCCACGATGAGAATCTGACTCTGATTTAATGATACATATGTGTTAAGACTACACGTTTGATTATGCAGCGCCAGCAAAGCTAGACAGTGCCACACTTCAGCTTGAGGCGTAAGGCTAAGTTAAATTACCATGTTTTTTTGTCTGCGGCCATCCAACATAACGTAATCTAAAAGTCCTGGTCAACCGATCAAACCGACATATAATACAAAAAGGCAGGTCTTTGCCCCCGTGTATACCTGCAGCTCATATTTCACCTCACTTGACCTGCCCTGCACTGCCCCGTCCTGTCCCGCCTGACCTGACCTGACATGCCCTGACCCGCCCGGTATGACCTGACCAGGGCTGACGGGACCGCAGGTTACCTGGGCTTCCAGTGCGAGCAGCGGGACTTCACGGCTGACCAGGTGGGCGAATTCACGAGGGTGCCGCACCCGAGCGACTGTACCAAGTTCTACATCTGCTTCAACAAGGCGGACGGCAGCGTCCAGCCGCGTCTCCAGGGCTGCCCCGAACCGGCCGTGTTCGACCCAGAGAAGGAAGAGTGCAACGAGAACCCGGAGGAGGTGGCCGGATGGTGAGTCCGCCGCTGAAGTGGACGGCGTCCGCATCGGTTGTATATGTGTTGTGCCTTGTTGCTTTCCATGACACGACATAGTTTCGACGCCATTTTTTCACGGATGGGTGGAGGAAGCGGAGCTGCATCTCCTGCCCTCGCTTTTGCCGCCGCTGTTTGGGACGCTTTTGGGTTGATCTGTGTAAATGACTAGGAGTCCGAGCCGAAGGTTACCAGCCTGACCTGACCTCTCTCCAGCTGTACGTTTCTCATCGAATTGGGCCCACTGTGTTTTGACCAACATGATTTTGTGTATAACTTATGAGCCCAGCTTTTATTTCAGCAGCATACGTGTGTGGCCATAGAATACGGTCTAAAGAATGCAGGTGTCCATAATGGCATAGCTTTCTCTCCATAGTTGTAACACTCCGGCAAAAACTGTGGTAGGAATCCGCACAAAATTGAGAAAGGAGAGAAATCAACTTGTGAGGAGGACAAGATACTTACAAAAGAATGCAAGTTAACACATGTGTTATACTATACTGAGCTTTACTTCTACTTTGTGTCATTGGCCACTTTCGTTTCGTGTCTTTCAGCAGCACTCCCTGTTTCAGCAGCGCTTCTACTATGCAGTGCCTACTGAGGGCTCTTTACATATAACCAAGGCACGGCATGCGCCCGTGCCCCATTCCCAGCCCCCCCCCCCCCCCCCCCCGGCCGTGTGGGACGTCTCTCTAACAGCGCCCCCTGTCGCCGCAGCTCGGACGCCATTCCGCCGGGCGTGCTGGCGACGTTCACGCGGCGCAAGCAGGACGAGACGGACCGGCGCGAGGCGCGCCTGGCAGCGCTCAAGGCCCGGCTGCAGGGCTGACCTCGTGCGGTGACCTCGCCCCAGCCGGCCTCAAACGCCCGGAGGCACCGGCCCGGCTGACCGACCTGTGGAGCGCGTCAGGGAGGCACCGATGCCCGGCATTGCGGGCTGGAATGGTAGCGATGAACACTGGTCGTGTCCTGGTTTCGAAGCGGAACTCGTGGACGCACTTCCCTAGAGCAATAAAGCGTGAACATCTGACAGTGAAGGCAGCTGTCTGGTGTCCGAAGCGATGTGACGCTCAGCATGTTCAAATTTGGATGCGTGGTATGTGACAATAAGGTCCAAGTTATCGTGCAGGCGTAAATTCACCAGTGATGACCTAGTTTCCATAGTGCTCCGTCTCGATTTCAATGATTCACGCGATTTAAAGGCAGGCATATCACTAAATAACAATTCAACATCATGCGCGTGTCTTTGAACTCTCAGGCGCCGGACCAGCAGATGGGTGATTTGGCATGCTTGCGTTGCCTAGCCTAAAAACGTGTCCCTAGCGCCTTTGACTTCTGAGTACCGAAGGCTTTGCGGAACACCGCAGGGCGATCCACGACCGGCGCAGCCGGCGACAACGATTCCGCGGACCGCACGCGGCGTGCAGACAGTGTTGCATTAACCTAGCTCTATGCCATAAATCGGTGCCCAAAGCACGTGAAACTACATGCCATTGGCTCATAATGGAAAAATAAACGCCTGTTTGGGTGAAGTGTCGCTACAGGGCAAAGTCTTGCACACACGAGCAAGTATAGTTGAAAGAGCTCGATTTTCAGGTTTTTTATTTTCGGCTGGCATGATGGGGTCAGTTGGTGACTTAGCGTCATAGAATGAATTTTCATTTGCGAGATACAACAGACGGAAGTTTTCCACTAGGTTCTATCTTTCTTAGTTGGAAACGGCAGGTGGGTGTCATCGGCTTTCCAATCAGTTCGCAGTATGAAAAAGGTGGATTAGATTAAACACCTTTTTATTTTTACAAGCAGTAACTGGGACACTGAGGAGGAGATCCAGAGATGAGAGTGGCTGTGTGCATTTCGCAAGATTGTGGGCTCGACGTATAATCAATGAAGCAGCCATCAGCTGCGACGCCGGTGGAGCCACCGCCTAATACAACCACCGATCTGTCTATCTATCTATATGAATATGACTATATATGTATATATATATATATATATATATATATATATATATATATATTTATAAGCGCAGCAAAGCTTCAGAACAGCGTCCTGGCCTGTATCGTTTCCTTGGAAAAGAATTGTAAATTTGTGTGCATTTGAATTATGTTTTCAGTTATCATGTTGAGTGTGACCAATCAGTCGTCTTCCTCTTCTTGGCATACCATCTGAGCTGAGTTTGTGAAACCTCCTGCAAATATCATGCAGACGCGACACGATCACCGTGATGTTTACTTAATCGATTTCACAGACGACTGGGGTGTGAAACATTCCAAAACTATTTAAAAATGTTTTCGGAGTTTTTTCCTAACAACACAACTCTTTGAGAGATTTTCGGCTAGAACTGATTTGCAGAGATATAACAATGCATTGGTTGCAATGTATATGCTGCAAAAATTGTGGTTTGCTGGCTATAAGGAAGGCACCCTTGTGCTGTCATTTACGATGCCAGATCTCTTCTTGCTGAAAATTTCGGAGACTTTTTTAAATTGGTGGAAGGTCTGTCGCAGACGCGACACAACACGCTCCTACCTCCTGGCAATGCCCCTGTTTATGGGTAAGCAGTACTTGCAGGACCCAAATATGTAAGCGTGGTCCACGGTGAATGATCCTTAAATTGAACGATCCCAAAGCCCACTTTCCCCAACACAGTACTGATGCAAAAAATGAGGCGCAGCCAGCATCCAACGCCCTTTGTCTTATCGACACGGCTGAGTAGCCGGGCCTGCCATTATCTCAGAACTTATGTAAATTTATGGTATAAACTAATGAAGCAAATGAATAAAAAGGTATCGTTTGGTATGGTAAGCTTCTTCGTAGTTCCATAAACGTGGTTTAGCCATTCAATATCTCTCAAAGTCCGTTAAAATAGTGTGATGTTTGCGTCAAGGTGTTTAATATATACGACGACATCCTTAAGACATAAAACACTTTTAAGAAACTTTTCAGTGCGCTGATCGAATGTGAAAATGATTATTATCTTGAAACAGTGTAAATGATCGCATTTCATCATATAAGAGCGACTTGATAACAAATTTCCAAACTGGCTTAACAGGCAATGTGTAAATTTGACGTTACTACAATCTTTTTGTTCACAGACCCACAAATGTATTGAAAGAGATGTAACACACGGCATGGAGTTTGTAAATTTCATTTAAAAGTCATTTTAACAATTGATGGCGGTACACTTAGTGCAGATAAAGAGTGCGACCACATATCAGGTGACAAAGAACTTGTTTTGGGGGCTGTCATGCACTTGAGATTTCACGAGGACTACAGAGCCGCGTAGATCTGAAGGAGAACATGAGACCGTTGCCTTCCTTGAAGTAATGTGGGTACGGAAAATGCATTGTTTTGCAGTCGCCATTAACCACAAAGCACAAAACTCATAGGGCCTCCACCACACACCACACCGTGCACTGACAGGTTATCCACCACACACCACACCGTGCACTGACAGGTTATCCATCACACACCACACCGTGCGCTGACAGGGCCTCCACCACACATCACACCGTGCGCTGACAGGGCCTCCACCACACACCACACCGTGCACTGATAGGTTATCCATCACACACCACGCCGTGCGCTGACAGGGCCTCCACCACACACCACACCGTGCGCTGTCAGGGCCTCCACTACACACCATTCTGTGCGCTGACAGGGCCTCCACCGCACACCACACCGTGCACTGACAGGTTATTCACCACACACCACACCAAGACGCTTCGTTTGCCAGCGGTGACTTCAATCTCTGTCCTTTGCAAGGCTGCTGCCCTTGCGATTCATATTCATAAAAAGTCAGAAGGAGAAGAGAACCCCTATACTTTCACAATTTGTGTTAACTAGCCGACCACATACATCTGAAGCTTGTTTCGTAGTATTTGACATTTCTGTTGATGGTAGGCAACTGGCCATTTTGTTGTTTATCTGTTGTCAAGTTATTCCATAAGTGCACTTAAGGACCATCCAAATAGCGCAGTTGGTAAGAACCGATTCACGCATCCGTGGCGGGGTGGATTCAAGTCGCATGTTGGTAAACGTGAAGCAGTGAATGTTTGCTTTTTGTTTTTTAAGTTGTGAACAAACATTATGGGTCCATAAATTTATGAACGTGTTGTGTCGGTAGTTGCTAACAAATGGAATAAATGGCTGTAAAACGCAATGCCTGCTCCTGTTTCTATATCCGACGTGGTATGTGGGCCATAATAAACGCCTTCGTTCTGGTAACTGTCCATTTCCATGAACTTGAAGACCACGCGCTTCTTCACAGCACATAATCAGCCGTACTTGGTGCCTTTTCACTTAGTTGTAATCATTCAAATAGTTGCTCTCATTGAACCTGTGACTGTTTTTAATTTTCGTTGCCACAATGCATTCTTTCACCCTTGTTCAGTCCAATTCAAGGAGGTCATTTAGCGCGAACAGTCGGGGATTTTGCAAGTATTGCAATAAAGGACGTAAAGGATACATTGCGTGCCTTTTCTGATGAAGGCTGCCATTTCAGTGCTTTTAAACTGCTTTACTCGTGCTTCAAAGGGAAAAAGGAATGTTTCGCGGTGGAAAGCATTGGAACTAATCCCGTCATCGTCAGTTCATGACACCATAACTAAAACTATCTTGCTCGCTTCTTTGCTTGCTTAATTGAAGGCCGATAAGTACAGAACATACATATCCCTGTAAACCATGCATTCATAAAAGCAGATTTTTAGGCGGCACTGGTGAGCGATGTACTGGCTGTACGAATGGAAATGTTCGCTCAGTGGGCGGCGTTCCGAAGGGTAGAGCACCAGCGAACTTGCTGCATGATCCGAAGTCGAATTGATCACTTGAAGGACGCAGTTGATACAAATGCGAAACTGCTGATGAGATTCCGAGTACACAGTATTTTCCTGTTGTGGGAGTTGATCTGATGCTCATTTCGGCGTCATCATCTAACATCCTGCTGTAGCATGCTATGGAAGCATGCTTTTCGTTACGAGTTTGTTATTCCATCTCTCCCAGCCCTAAATTCATCTCTCTTCCCACAACCTGATCTCACAATGGAAACGGTCTGGAAAGAATGTCACATGGTTGTGCGGTAAACTGGGATGAAGCGGCATCATTATGTTCCAAACTATGTGACTTCCATGGCGAAGGCTACAACCAAGGAGAGGGTGCTTCATGCACTTAATTTCCCCTCAAGCACGCTCCAAGGCGGCATGGACGCCGCAGACACCTAACGTGACGAATCGGGATAAGAAAGACGACAAGCTATAAAGTTAACTGCATTTTCTCTTTGCGTTACCTTTCGATACTACCTCCCGTCTGTGTGAGCCTTTGGTTCTAACGGAAATACTATTTGACGTTGGCTGCAGATAAGTGTCTCTCGTCTGTCTGCAAACTACCACGTGTCTCTTTCATGCCGAACTCCCACCAAGAAACCACGCCAATTGGGGCCACCTGCCGAATAAAACAACTACCAGTACCTACCGGAAATATTGGAACTACAGTATCTGGTGTTTTCAAAAGAGCATTACGTGGACATCGCAAGAGGTAAGGCATTGAAGGTGGTACTTACATAATGATGGTGCATCCTTGAGTCCGTAAAATTCTCATTTGTTATGCTTGGCTATTTTTCTGGACCTCAGCCACCATTTTATGCAGCTATAAAATGGGAAGCTTTTTTGTGAAAAGTGGTATTTATTTTTTAAAAAAACATACGACAAGCTTTTCAGATTCAGTGCATAAGAATGTATTAGATAACACTCAGTGAGCTCAACCTTTCGACAAAACCATAAAGAATGGATGGCTTGGTACATACACTTCCTAATCCAAACACAGGTCATCCAGGTCATACTCTCTGAAGATTTGGCTTCGAACACTGAAGTGATTATGAGTGTTTGTGTCCTAATCTATTGAGTCCTTATTGTATATAGGTATGCAGTGAATATCAAGAGCACCAAAGCTTTCACATCGCCAAGAGATCAGCACCTAGCAAGGTCGCACATGGAGCAGACTCGGCGCGGCATACTTATGACATAATTACTTAAGTTGGTGTTAAAAGAACGTCCAACTTAAAGGAATGTTCCACCTTTACATGAGGTTTTGAACTGAAATAGCCATCTTGAAGACCTTTTGATGCAGTTCACGGTCATGCCCCTTTTAGGACTCAAGGCCCTCTGGTTCCTGAGTTATACGCCCGCAAAAGTGCTTAAAGGTTTATTGGGAGACTACCTCAAAGTCACCTTGGCATGGTGTCGTCGTAGGAACACCATAACGCCAAACTGCCGTTATATTACAGGCTGTTTTCTGCTTATGGTCAAAACAGCATGGCCGCTGATACATTCGCAAGAGCGATGATAGTACATGATACATGACGCATGATACGATCCGCGGAAGGTTATTGGCTGTTAGTAAGATTTCGCTGCCGAATAGGTGTCGCGAACGTAAGTGTGAGCACTTCCAGGTTGTGTGCCACTCGTCGCCAACGGCGCATTTTTCCTGATATCTAGCCCATAAACCAATATTATAAAACGAAAACGCCACTGTCTGCGAAAAAGTACAGCACCGAAAAAAGAACGGCGCTGTCCCGAATGTCATGAAAACGCAAGATGCGATAGCAAATCAGCTTTTTTTTCTCCTGCTGGCGTTTCTTTTTTCTACTGACGTATTTCTTACGGACAGCTCGGTTGCCACCTTCTGTACCGGAGCAAAGGACCTTGCACGGGTTTATGAGTTAGCAAGGTAGTATAAAATTAGGGAAATGCTACAGTAATTTTAGATGTATATTTTACCAAATATTTCAAACATATTGTGGGATAAATTTAAATCTTGAACACAAAATTGTGTGCTTCGAGTACAACCCCTTGAGTTGCGTTACCATGAACCCCTGCTGGGACTTTTTCGTTACTTTATTTTGATTTTGCCAGCATTTCAAACCTATTGAGGTATAACAGCATGTAGTTAATCCGTGGCATGGCATTATATTAGCAATTTTTCAAGGCAGAAGAGTCAGGTTAACACAGCTCATTAATGTACATGCTTGGTATAAGCTCGCATGATATAGCGTTGCTAAATTGTCCTTCACTTAAAACTTCTGAAAATATAGTGCTGCATTATTATGGATGCACATATGACTGTCTTAACAAATATTGCATGCCGGCAACCATTGTTTGTGAATCATCATTGTCATATTCACTGCAGCTTGTATGATATGCTGTGCGCTGATGAAGGTGGAGGAGTAGCTCTGTTGGTTTCTTGGATAGCACTTAATATTTTATCATGAGCCTGGTACGCACCGGTAGCGTCATCAGTTTCTTGCATTTCGTCCATGTAACACGCACTTGTCATATCTCCAACGTTGTGGAAGGTCAGAAGTTTTGCAGTGTCACTACACTACATGTAAAATTTTCTTGTACTTGCAATATTACTTATGTGAACAGCATTTTTTACTAAAGCAGCCTGATGGCTGCAGCATGTTGCATGGTTGTGGAAGCAGAAGACATTTCTGCACCTTTGTCACCCATGTTTTGTGGATCTCCAAAATAGGCCGAACAAGTGATATCACTTATTGGTTGTGTGCTTTGCTGAAAGTAATTTGCATATTGTATCATGTGCTTTTGGTCAGTCATATGTCAGATGCGGAGTTCATGCAAGAATGCATCCTGGACCCATCTTTTCATGATGGAATTTGCTATAAAAGCAGTAGGAATTGCAGTATGAAAACTGTATCATTGTTCAAATTGTCATGCCGCAATGCGGTACAGAGGTACTGCCATCATGACACTGTTGACCCGGGCCATTACACAATTTTTCGCATTTGTTGACTATTCTATGTCAAGCCTATGAGACAACAGTTTATAATTTATGAATGACTGGTAACAACTGATTTAAGAATGCCAAAGGATTATCATCCGTGAGAATGCTGCCACACCACAATGGTTATATCAGGGCAAACTAGCAATTGCATAAATAGTCATAGGCAAGAAAAATATTCTTGGTAGCTCAACCTTACCATCTTTACTCCGGAAATACAATGTTTCGGCAATTAATTCATAGCAATGTTACATATTTATTATTTTTACTCACAACTCCATTTCCAGCCACAAATAATAGAGAAGGCAACTACAGTGTACATCACATGATTTCAATGTCAGGACTACAGCACTGCAGACAAGGATAACACAACACAATACTGACATCCTCAACAGTCCTTGGCAGGCTTCGGTAAGATATTCATGAAGCTATATGGTAGTCTTCATTGCATGTCATGCTTTGATATTCCTAATCTGCCCTAAAAGCTGGCGATCGCTACATTACGTATGTCAAACAGCCCACCAAAGCTGTTACAACCAGTGCCAAAACAAAAAATCCACAAATAAGCCATTCACTAATCCGCCACCCAACACAGCGCCCGCGACGATAATGGCCGGTTGGCGTCAGCTTTCGTGTGTTTCGAGATGTTTTTCAGTCTGGCTGCCAGATGCTGTCAGGAACTGCCGTCGTCACAAAACTATTCCATGGCGCCATCAAACAATGACGTAATGGGGTGCATTCGTACAAACGTTGAAATTTTGCTACGTGGGGTCGTTTTTAAACTTTGAAAGCTTATGAACAGTCACAAGTAAGCTTTTCTCATCATGTCTGATGCTTATCTCAATATCTTCAAAAGTGGAAAATTCCCTTCAACCCCTGGTCAGTTAAAAAGCAAATAGGGCGGGGAAATTGGACAAACAATGACGCCGTTTTCACTGCAAGGCCCGTTCAGATAAAGCGTAAGGTTTCTTGTGACAAACACCCTTGACGTCATAGACTAATGAAATCTTCGCGATCTCGGCCTGTCTCCGTCTCCTGTTGTCTTTCGGCGAACGGCGGTACCAGTTCCGGCTTGGTAGGAGTGGCGGAATGCAAGGTCAAACTGCGCGAGTAGCCCGTTTAATGGCACGCCCTTTTCTTAGAATGACATCAGCAAACGAGGCTGTTCCGAGAACGTTTGACTTCATTCAACCATGCCCTGCACTTCGCCAACGCTGTGTCGGCTGTGCGGCCGAGGTAAACGGGCCGTCTAACTTTGCTAACCTGTAGTTAAGGACGGAATAGCTGGCCATTCGATGCATCGATCTCTTTTCTGTTAGCTTTACCAAAAAGCAGTTGCTGACAAATGCTTGCTTTGGTGTTATTCGATAAAAACAAAAGGATGGATCGTCTCCGCGCCTATTCCAGTGCTCACGTTTAGGTCAATGGGGCCAAATGTCTAAAGAAAGACGTTCCCAAAGCCTGGGACGAATCAAAACAAGTGCAACGGATCGTCGCCAGCAAGTCAGGTGTGTTCGAATCTGACGTGATGTGATGTGATGTGATCTGATTTCTATGATCTGACGTGGTGCGATGCGATGCGATCTGGCCGGATCAGATCGGACCGGACCAAAGCGGGCCGAACTAGGCCGGGCCGGGGCGGAACGGAACGGAACTGACGCGATCGGGCGGAGCTGGGAGCTCAGTATCTGGCTGAACAGGGTCAAATCGCGTTAGGCTGGGCTGGACAGGGCTAGACGGAACTCGTCAGGGCTGGACAGGGCTAGACGGAACTCGTCAGGGCTGGACAGGGCTAGACGGAACTCGTCAGGGCTGGACAGGGCTAGACGGAACTCGTCAGGGCTGGACAAGGCTAGACGGAACTCGTCAGGGCTACTCCGAACTGGGGCGGAGCAGCTCAGGGGCGAAGGGAGAAACAATTTGAGTAGAACTGGTGGGGTAGGGCATTAGGCAGAGACAGAGAGACCTTAGACGGTACTAGAGGATAATGGCTCCTACAGACAAGCCGAACTGAAACGAAATGTGGTATTGCCGTGTTAAACTTCTTGCTCTATTCTACCCGACTGGTGTTGGGAAATGCTGCCCGAGTTAGACAAACCTAATGAACCATTTCACTTTTCCAAATTAGCTCCCTTGGTTTGGTTTGATTGACTCTCATCCCTTTTGGTGTTTCTTCTCAACTCTTTTCTGTTTCATTGTGATGTCTTTTAATTTTCTATTTCGTTAGCTTTTGTCCTCTCGCCTTTTTGGATTGTGGCCTTCGTCCCGATCGTTCTTTGCTCCTTGAAATTTTCCTGCTTTGTCTATTACCATCGCTCGGCTTCATTCCTTTCATGTTTTGTCTGTAGACCTCATTCATTTATACTGGAATCGGTCTTAGCCTTCGTCCCTTTTAAATCTGCGACCGCGAGCTTCATCCACTTAAGCATTTATCCATGTGAATTTGTGGCCCTTTTCACCTTTTTGGCTCTCATTTCAGTTGTTTTATTCCTGTTTTCTTTCCTGTCTGGGCTCCATTTATTCCGCGTTCTCGGGCAACTTATTACATAATCGCTTCCCATTCATCGAATGGATTACGTCAAGGCTGTTAGGCAATGATTGTGCGACACCCTGTGTCTCTCAGAGACGTTCAACGAAGCACTCAATAAGGGCAATTGCGGCGTGTTTTCCGAAGAATGAAGGTGAATAAGGAAGCATCGCAGCAAAGCCTGCTCGTCAATTCTACTTTCTAGTTCTGGTCAAACGCAGGCGACCTTGATCCTGGAGAGTGCAGTTGACGTTCACTTTCTACTGCAGCTCTTCCCACGAAGCATCGCTGCTGTACCAGTCACTGCAAGGCATTGCGACACAGCCGTGATCGTATGTGGTGTGATGGATCACGAACTCCACCATCCAGCGTTGTACATGGATCTTGTGACTTGTGATGCACAATACAGCTTGACGATATCAGCTGGTTTCGCAGATGCTTTTTCGCGGAGCTTTGTCAGCGCTGATTTTGCGCAGTTATGATTCGATGTGGGCTCATACTGAACTGAGAAACCTACTGACAACCAGACTGAAGCTTAAGGTAGCCTTGCGCCGCACAGTGCGCCTCTCCAGCCGTTTGAAGCCTCTGTTTCGACCAGAGACGCACGGGCAGAGGAGACCTGCCCGGCAGCGGGCCGGCGGCCTCCGGTGGCGGGCAGCGCTCGCCGCCACAGCCCGCAGCGCCACCGTTAACGGTCCGGCGCCGGCCTTCGCTGGTGATCTGGGTTAGCCGCCCCTGGTTTCTCCGTGCGCCGCCAGGTGGCAGGCCGCTGGGCCCGCCACACGCCGCCAGAGGGCATTCGACAGCGGCGACATGTGGCGGACCATCGCGACGTGCCTTCTGCTTCTGGCACTGGGTGAGTGCTTGAAAATGGCCTGGCAGCGCGTTGCATTAAGTGGATGGATCGGCTTTGTCTGTGCAGGCAATTAAAGTGAAGTAGTGCATGGTTTACATTCATGTGCGTGGGAGGTGAGCAATGCGATGCCCCTTTAAGAGTGACGCGGTTACATCCTTGAAATTGCGTTGCGTTCAAAGCGTTGCTGTTTTTAATTAACACCTATGTAAAGTTCATGGTGTATGCCCTATTTACCTGTGTTTTTCACTGAGTACTGTGTGCAGCGATATTGTATTGGATGACCTTGATGAGTCACCCGGAAGAAAGCTCAGCCAACAGCCTGGGGATTTTCATATCGTTCAGAACCCTTAAACCATGCTGCGTTTGGTCCACAAAGGCCTGACCTGGCTTTGGTTTATAGGCCTGGCTTTGGTTCTAGCTCAGATTTAGCGACGGCGTGTGTTAGTTTGTTACGTAATATTACTTACGTACGGTATAGAGAACATTGATAGAACCACCTATCACGTCCTTGAGTCCATCCTTGAGTTAATGCATAACTGAGTTGCACACAAAGCCTTCTCTGCTTTGCGAGGCCTCCGGGATTTCCTCCGTAGCCTCTAAGCGGGCGGGAAGGCCTCCTCTCACGGCTCCTCGCCTGTCACCAGCCAGCGGGCTGCGGCCGGCTCGGCGCGGCTCGCTCAGCCGCGGCCGGGACCGGCTGAGGGCGGGCGCCCGGCGCACCACCACCACACCGCCGCCGACGACTACGACAGAGGCGGCCCTGCTGCCAGACGTCGACTACGACACCGAGTGCCCCGAGAAGTACGGCTTCTTCGCCGACGCTTTCCAGGTGCGGTGGAGACGCCCTGATAAACGCAACGCCTGGTCTCCACCTTCATGGAGCAAGTCTGCATCTTTCTCGAAAAAGGATGTTTCTCATCTCTTAAAAATAGGCCCGACCGTGTCAGAAGTTCAGACAATCATTGGTTTGGAAGTCAATGTTTGCAATCCCAAGTCATAAATTCAGACAAATGCACTTAACTTGTTCAGTGCATTAGCCAGGAGCATTATTCAGTAGTATTATTCGTATTCCTAGGAGAAAAACCAGGAGAATGGTGATATAGCTTTATCTCCAGCCCCCCCCCCCCCCGGGTACTGTCACAGGTCTCCTGTGACAGTACCCGGGGGGGGGGGGGGGGTGCCGTCACAGGAGACCAAGCGACTTAGACCGGGATTGAGGCAGCAGCTGTACCTCCATTCTCCTGTTTTTTGTTTTTGGTTTTTTTGTCTCCGAGGAATAAGGCTAATGCTACTGTCTTACCACATGCACTTAAAATGGCGCAGATCGAGTCGCCCCAAACGTCACTCGGCGTTCCGAGACTAGCATATTCAAAGCTGGCTTAGCTGCTGGCAAGTGCATAGGTTCGCTCAAATTTGCCTCCCCCTCGAGACGATGCTCAACCGTCCAGCAGTATCTCATCTCATATATCAGCAGTATCAATCACTGTGCCTATGACAGATGGTTTTGAGGAAAGTGTTCCCTGCGACCGCAGCAGTATGACTAGCTTCCCGTGTGCATGTGTGTGTGTGTGTGTGTGTGAGGGGGGTAATTGTGATGAGCTATCCGCACGCGGCTGCACGTGATAAGCCGTCGGTCTGCGTGCTAACGTGCCGACCATGCCACGTGCGCGGCAGTGCGACCGTTACTACGAGTGCCACAACTACGAGATCACCGAACACCTGTGCGACGACGGCCTGGTGTTCAACGACTTCAGCACGCAGTACGGCCGCTGCGACTTCATGCACTCCGTCAACTGCACCGGTCGCGAGGAGCTCCGTGAGTCATCGCCGTGGGCGGCCCCGTGGCCGGGGGGCGGGGCTGTCACAGGGAACATGACGACTTAGGCCAGGGCTGAGGCAGTGTTCAGGCTGTTTGATTACCTTTCGATCAGGTTGAGGAGACAGCATTGATGAGCTGGTTTTATTTGCACGTCGTGAATGAAGGCTGGAATTGTGCAGGGATGGCGTTTGGTTCCCTGAGATGACCAGACATGTGACAGCAGGTTGGCGGGCGCGATATCAGATCTTTTCTAGAGGTCTTTCAAAACCTTTTAGTACTATGGAGAAAAGAGTTCGGCGGATCTCTAGCTTCATCATTACGAGCTAAGCTTCAGTCCACCCCACCAACATAGAACATTCAAATCCCGCGCAGCGTATTGTTATTAAGTTTTGGGCTATGGTTATCCAGAAAATCTGCCTGCAAACTTCGTTATTCATGTTAGATACAAGAGCTTAACGATGATACAAAAAAGGAATAACTCACGTTGCCGAAAGCGCAAGAAGGCAAACTGCAACACTCGACCCTTTACCTCACGCTGCAATAACTGCCTCCAGACCCGCCAGTAGGCCCCACTCTGCTGCTGATGTAGGATGGGAGGTATTCATGGGAAAAACATGCATGCTGCAGCATTAGGGTTTGGGATGTGTACGGATCAAAGGCATCCGCACCAGCTACACGTGACGGCGTGTTGATGTGGACCCTTTCTCAGCAGTACACATGCACTCTATATGAATACATCACTATATGTAGAAAAAACGCCAATTCGCGTGCACTATCTCCGCCAGCAAATCGTTTCTCCGCTGGCGTTAGCACTAAGCTCTGTTTCATGATCGTCATTGACACTATACTATGTCATGTTCCTTTACGGAAGGTCTTACATCGTCTGCACTAGCTCGGAGTGCGTGCATGAGTACAGTGACAGGGCATTACCGACAAGTGTCAGGTGTTACCAGACCTACAATAGATACATGTCAGATATAAACAGTGTGGCAGGCACAAATGCGAAATCAATTGCATGATATAGATGCATGTACTGGCGTCAACTAACCAGCAGATAACTAAACTGGCCGACCTTCGAGCGTGCCAGTAGTTGACCGGGACGCATTCAATGCCAGCTTTCTCGAAGCCGATCTTGAATACGAGAAGCTTCGGCCTTAAATGAGATAGATTGTGCTATAAAAATTACACTGTCAAGTAGTCCTGTTTGATTTAATTACTAAATGCCCAAGACATTTGCACTTTCGCAATACTTTGATTACAATTGGTCAACAATGGTAGCAATCTGAAGTAGTGTTGTTGAGCTGTTGTGAAAACGAGGCATGGTGTGAAACACTGAACAATAAGTTATGTAACGATGACACAGAATTGTAAAGCATCAGTCCACATTAAGCGTGGTCTTCATAGTCACAGTGAGCTGATACCTAGAAAATGGTCAAGTTTAAAAGTCAAGTGTAACGTGGATGCATTGCTCTTGACATTAAGTGTCCATTTGGGAAAGTTCCAAAATATTTGCTCCGTGAGCTGGACTATAAAAGCATCACATGGCCTCCAGTTGAGTGCCTACTGATCTGGACCAATTCGTCAGCGTCATGGGTCGATGTTAGTCCCCGTGTGCGGCGGTACTAATACCGCACGCCCTCAGCTGCGTGCCTGCTGATCCGGACCGCCTTGTCAGCATTATGGGGCGATGTTGGTCCCCGTGTGCGGCGGTACTACTACCGCACGCCCTCAGTTGAGTGCCTGCTGATCCGGACCGGCTCGTCAGCGTCATGGGGCGATGGTGGTCTCCGTGTCAGACGGTACTAATACCGCACGCTCTCAAACAACTGTTGTGTCATCCACAGAGGAGCCCAAGCCATCCGGGCTCTGCCCGCGCCAGAACGGGTACTACCCCGACCCCGACCCCACCGTATGTGACAAGTTCACCCAGTGCACCAAGGGCGAGGCCAACCCACTGACCTGCCCCGCTGGGCTGCTCTTCTCGCTGAAGACGAGCACGTGTCAGTGGCCCGACCAGGCAGGCCGCACCTGCAACTCAGAAGGTATTCTGCCCCGTCACATGCACGCACCAGATGTGTTTTCGGGTTGATATGTAGGTAGAGAGACCATGCCGGAAAGGTTGTCAACGGTATGTGACGTGTTCATTAACTTCTAACGAGAAGTGTGTTCTTATCAGCCGAATAGAGAGCATTTGGGAGAGAGGGTTAGAGAACGTCAAACGGAGGTGACAGAGGAGCAGCAGCGGTTATTTAAGTCTCGGACCTCATATAGCGGTTATCAGTCGGTCGTCTTTACGGGCATGCACGGCGATTGTCGTTGCCCCGCCGCCAAACGAGAGTGCCTCAAAAGTGCCTGGAGTTCTTTTAACGTGGCCGAACAAGAGGGCGCCAAAAGCACGGGAAGTTTTTGTTTGCAATAGCATATGACGTGTTAATCCTGATACCGTGCAGAATGTCCCGCCACCAGGGCAATAGGTTATGACCAATCATTTTCATCTGGTTCTCCATTGCTTGACATATTCAAGCAAGACGAGGCTGCATAAACAGTAACCCTTACGTGCATATGAGCTCAGTTTATCGTGGTTCACAGTAAAAGAAGGCATATCGACTGCCCAATGTCACAACCACATAATTCCTTCACCACCAAAAACTGACCGCAGCCCTCCCCGGCCACAATTTTCAGAGTACCTTGACTTCAAGTGCCCGGGCAGTCAAGATCGAGAATCCGGGGCCAGGCCAGCCGCTTCACCCGCGCTTCGAGGACCCCAACGACTGCCAGTTCTTCTTCTCGTGCCTGGACGGCGTGGTGCCGCGACGTCACGGCTGTGAACGGGGTCGCGTCTTCAACGACGCCACCAAGCGTTGCGACGAGCCCCAGAGTGTGCCCAAATGGTCAGTACGGCAGAGGCGTGGGAGACGTATCCCACGCGCTGGCAGTGTCACATAATTTCTAAAGCGCCTTCAGTTTCATGGTGCTGCTGCACCGAAATGCTGAAAAAGTTAATCGTCTTCGTTTCGGATAGAGCCACGTTACAGATGGCTCGCAAGAGTTTGGCAGAACACTTCCCATGATCAGAGTATTTTTTAACGACATTGTACCATAATCGATATTCTGATGCCACTGTAGCATGTAATCCATCGTTCACTAATCTTCCTGGACGTGTTCGTCCGCTATCATAAAAGACAGGGGAAAAATATGCGACGTAAGATCACGTTAACTACATAATTCACGTGATATCTAAATTTTACTATTGCGTGGAACTTTTCGGAACAACCAAGAATCTGACATTATTTAATACAGCTTTTTTAAAGATATATTAGTTTCCGAGAAAATTAGCAAATTAAATTTCGGAGTTAAACGCGAGCCGCCGTCACCAGGGCTGTTCTGGCTCACGCACGAGGCTTATGCGCGCATAAGACCAGCGTCGCAATTATTAAACTGCCGGCTGTTTTGGCCAAGTCTGAGACGCATGGCGATGCTGTTTGTGGCCATGTAGCATTTAAGACGTCACCGTTGTTCAATATGTGCACAATTCGGCATTTGCACGCATTGGATGTCGTCTTGCTGTCAGCATGCGTGCGTCTATAAATACCGGTTGATAGCATTGATGTTTCACTGGCATGTACATAAAATTATCATTAACAGGTAAGTTGCCAGCAATAGCCTGACGCTGCTCTCTCCTGACACCCTCAAGTTGATCGTTTAATGTATGCATGATGTAATCGATATATAGCATTGATGCATTAGATTTCAGTCATGGGGGTTAACGATTTCCTTTCGTTTACAGCAAGGACTGGTATCTGCGTTAGGAGTGCGTCGACGGCGGAAGCATGTTCGGCGTGTCATCTTGCAACGGAAATTCTAGACCCTGCTGCATGCATGCATCATCAACACCGCTAGACTTAATGCTCTGTAGCTTAAATCAAATGTCCTGAGTATTTACTGATTGGTAAATGAAGGTGTCAAGTGCGAAATTATTGCGTTATCTCCACGCCCTACGCCAGTAGACCTTCCAAGGAAAGAGGCATATGCTAGTCCAAATCTGCAGTGCAGAGCGGGCTCATCAGCCACTGCGAATAAATAATGAAAATGACTAAAAATGGTTTGTGTCGAAGTTAGATGACACTGTACTGGTGGTGAGCAACATGCAGTCCAATACGGTAGCCTGGTGGATTCTTATTCTGCGAGCTGCATTCCAAGAGTACTGTAACAAGCTCTGCGTCTTTGGAATCATTAACATGCAGTTCTTCCAATTGAGCCATGCAGTTCTCACACGTCCAACTTTAAGTTAAATATTTTTTCTAAGCCTTAGGTCACTGAGTATCGTAAAACATCAGTGACCTTTGCTGACGTTTAAAAGACCAAACTGACCAAAACGTTGTGAAATTATCTTAATATTTTCGTTTGCAATTAGCGCCAAGAACTATCATCGGTGGCCTACTCCTCAAACCAAAAGGCTGATGGAGGGCAAGTTAGGTCGGTGAGATCCTGTCCGTAATGAAGTCAAGCTTAGAAGTCTGTGAACGTGCTCGGCATCAAATAATTTAGAATGCCCCTCATGTTTCTTGTAAAAAAACCCTGGTTTTGACCTTTATTTAACCATCATATCCCACCTAAGGTAAATTAAATTAGTCTTAATCCTTATTTCAATTGTCCTTATTGACTAGGAAACCATCTCAAATGTATTAACTTATCTAACACTGCATTGTCTTATCAGCTTGAAATGTTTCCTAAGAAATGTGGGCAAAAAAAAGAAATGCTAGCAACCACGAGCTGACGTCGACCTGTTACAGGTCAGTAGCCTTCATAGGTTTAAAATACTTGGTATTTATGCCGAAAAATTGAGTTTTAAATTTTGACAGCTACACGGAGTTTGATGCCGCTACACCACATTGTTCGGGAGTTATTCTGTACGCAAGAAAACCTAGGGAGGGGTCAACTTGACCAACTAGCCGAGCGCCCGTTGGTACACGTTAAACAGCTTTTGTCAGTAAGCCGCAAAGTATCTCGCAAAATGTGTTCTAAGTGATGAGATTGTTTAAATCATTGATCCGGCTCGGCCCGAAACCACCCAAAGACATGCTTTGCTATTTTGGCAAACGAAATGTTGCTTGAAGTTAGGCTCATCATTAAAATCCCCTTACTCTTATGTCATCATCAAAACTTGCTTCGTTGCAGTTACGTTCTCTTATTGCAAAAAGATACTGCACAAGATCTTGTTAGAGCATCAGTGCATGACGCGAGTATCAGACGAACTCTTTAGTGCACAACCAGCATTAACTCCCAGTCAACAACTTTGCGCATTTGACGCCGGCTTTTCCTTCTTCTCCGGTGGTCAATCGGTGTTCAGGCGGCTGCCGGCCGACGACGCCAGGACGTCTTTGTCACCTAGGTAAACAAAAATTCCCAAGGCCAAAGTCCCTAGTTGGTCAATACTTTTGCTACTGAATCCGAACAACTTGTTCAAGCTCAGTTTTGTTTTGTTTTGTTTTATGCGTGACTTAGTCTTCGTCTTTCCTGGTGCTTCTTTCTGCTTTCCATTCCATGGTAGCAAGATAAACGTCTCGTGGACGTAGCAGCAGGGTTTTCATTACTTTCTACAATCGGTTACTCTTTGGCAACATCCGAGCTGTTTTGCATTGGATAAATGGGCAGGCATCTGTCCGGTCAGTCACTGTTGACGTATGTCCACTTTGCTTTAACAGCGTGGCCTTAGCGCGTCCTAGCGTCTCGCCAGTTTCCATTAGATTCCATTGATGTGCCTAGTCTTGGGTCATGTAAATGCTCATTTCTTTTTTATACGCACCCGGGTGGCTGGATGAATACCCTTTGGGCTTTGGGCTTTGAGGGGCTCAATTTGACATCCCCTGAGATAGCCGAAAGTGCGCGAGCTACAAATACCAGATTCACGCAGTGTGTTGGCCTGTGCGTGAACTGACTTGCATCAAAATTGTAGGCCCCTTGGTCATGGTATTCGGGTAAAGTAAGGTCGAACAAAGTCAAACTTCAGATTGGTGTCCAAAGTGTCCCCAGTCCTCTCATGCATCCAACGTGGACCTAGATGCCTGTTATAAGCGAAAGGTCACTTCCGCTCATTCAAGGTCTGTAACCTTGTGTGACCTTTTGATGGTTATGGTGACCACATCATAAATGACTGCTTCGATTTTTGCATTTAAGTAAGCGTCAAGCATTATACCAGGCAGTATGCTCCTAACAACAAACGCTGACCTGGGTCCTTTTAGCTCAGTGACTTATCCTGAATTTTGTGAAGCCTGTGGAAGATGTATAATACGGTTACCAACAATAATGTTACGGTTATAATACTGTTACCAACACACTGTTGAAGAGTGTGTGGAGTGGTACCAAGTTAGCGTGTGAGTGTGTGGAAGAGTGAGCACCGAAAGTGGCCTATACAGCATGATCTAGAGTAATACAACGGGGGTGATTTTGACATTGGCCTGACCTTCATAGTGGACTCTAGGTCCATGGAAGTTAGTTGTTGAATTGTTGTGTTGCTTTAAAATCTTTTTTAGAGATGTCTGGCCTCATCCAACACTCGGATGTTGCAACAGATTGAACGCTTCCCTAGAAACTGACTTCGCTGAATCCATGGCCTAACTTTGTACTGCCGTAGGTCAGCGACCTTACAAGGTACGTCTAGGTTTTTGGCACCAAGCGATCCGCTTTTCAGTTGTCTACAGCCGTGGTTCGGAAATAATTCCAGAAAACTATCGGGGGTCAAAGAGGAGTCGACCAGCGTTTCATCTGCGCCGGCTGAAGAAACCTATCAGTATCAATTACACGACGGTTGCCTTGGAAACAAACTGGAAACAGAACTGGGACAAAACTAGCTGGATCGTCTTGGTACGTATAGAATAAGCTGAATTTGTTTGGTTTTTATCAGTTGTCACAAAATACGAGCCAGTTATGTTTGGCACTTTTGTGGGGACTGCACACCAAGAAAAGCCCAAGGGATTTTACGTTTTAGCCAGTCATGCACTTAAAGCCATGCAAAGGGCAACTAGCGTTTAGGTGGTGTTTTCACAAAAAAGCAACAACAAAAACGCGGTCTCGGTTTGAATTAAGCCTTCATGCAAAAGCTAAGTGTAAGCTGATCAGCACGCAGTCCGTTACCGCGCGAAAAACTGAGGATATTCAGTCTCCAGCTTGGCAACCAACAGGTTGTCGAGTGTAGACCGGCCGGCTGGACCGGTTGGTCACCAAGCGCTTGGATGTTGCTTACGCCCACCAGCGATCTAGTAATCGGTCTGGGTACTAGGGAGCTGAAGTTGATCGGTGGCAGGGAAAGACGACTATTTGTTTTTTGTTTTATTGTTGAATTTGTTGCGATTGTTGCATTTGATGGTATCTCCAAATTCATTCGTTAATATTTTCACAGGCTTTTTCATTTTTTCTCCATTTTACTGGGCATGTGTCAAAGGTGAAAACTATGTGATTTTCACTGCGATAAGTAAAATGTAATGTAAATTCAATACCCGATTTTTAAAAAATTTTTAAGTCCTTTGCATAATGAATCATTGCGCTGTTTTACTTCACAGTGGACATGCACAGACGTTGAGGATTAGAAAATACCCGATATTTATTATGCATGCGTACATTTGGCATGCGTGTTATTTATGTTTATTATGTTTATTATGCATGCGTCACATTGGCACAGAAAAAGACTGCAGACACATCCTTCAACAATATCTCCTCCCAGCAAGCCGAGCTGTCCCCGTATTGTCAGTTTCGAGTCCCGGGATATCCCGCGAATATTATCCCGGGATCCAGGGATACCGGGATAGCGAGATGTCCACTCTGGGCCGGTCCGTCCCGACTTCTCGGGCCCGGTGAACAGCAGAAGGCTGTTCCGATGGCCCAGAGCTAAGGCATGCTACCGAGATGGGTCGCCAGACAGCATTGTCTGTCTGGTGACTGACGCAGGCCATGCTCGTGCGCTTCCTACCGCGAGCACTGGTCGGTGCAGTGACAATTCTCCGACGAAGCGATCGTTCGCCGATGGCTGTCATGTCCTGTTTGGGATTAGGTCGTGGGAAAACCTTCCGCAAACCGGCGTGAACCCAGTACCCCCCCCCCCCCCCCCCTCCCATCTACATCAGCACGCGCATTACTCAGCTGCGCCACAGAGGACCTCAGAATGCAGCATTTTATGTGAAAAGTGAAACTAGGTCATAGGGTCAAGAACCGTAGTTGATCAGTTCATGTGCCAACAACTGTATATTACGTTCAGGTCATGGAAGCCAATAACAAAATCACATTGAGAGCGCAATCCGCATCCCACTTAAGCAACAACACGGACGACGTTGAAAAGCCCTCCTCAGAACCCGTGACAGTGCTGCTATGGCCACCTGCAACGCGCCCAATTAGGTAACTGCTGTCACGCTAGTTTGGCAAAGTCGGTAGATAGTAGATGGTAGACAAGTCTGCCAGCGGGTATACAGTGCCACACGATTCAGTATGTCGATAAAGCGGAGGGAAGTTATTCTAAACGTACATTATACATCGTGCGAACGCCTTCGGGGCGTGAAGACAAACATTGGCTGGCGCACGCTCGTCGAATTCGTCATGGCTCATGGTCAACCGAATTCAGATGCTTCAGATGTCTACAAAATGTGTAAGCTTACCAGCAAACATGCGACCAAAAATCGGCCCCAAATGTTTTCAAGGGGCGATTTCTCTACCCTTTAAGACGAAATGTTGAAAGATGGTAAGCACTCTTAACCACATTTTTTACACAGGTTGTCAAAATTTAAAGGTAATCCCGTTTTCAGTAGACCAAAGAGGGGGCATCAGGAGAGGAGGTGTCTACTTTGCATCTCAACGGACACGACGGAGTTATATAGATCGCATACTTCAATGCAGGAAAGCTGATTTATCGCAGTTGCTGACACATTGTAAAAGTATATGGGTTGAAGTATTGTAGTTTTGCCACAATATCATCGCAGCGCCTGATTTATTATAACATGGTTATAATGACTTGTTACCGATTTGTTATGAATACCCACATGTGACGTGCGCCGACACATGCCAACGCTATCAGCATGACAGAGCTACATCCAGTGAATGGAAGCAATAGAAGTAATAAATGATAGAACA